AGGAGGAGGAGGAGTATGCTCGCACCTCTTTGAGGACTTTCATCTGCTTCTCCACGAAGGTCTTGCACATGTTCTCGTAGATCTGACGAATCTCAAGGCAACACTCTACCCTCTGAAAGTTTCGCAGCTTCCCGTGCAGATCTGCAGCCTTGGCGGCGCTGCCGTTGCTCCTGTTGGAGATGTGCAGCAGGAGGAAGGGAAGGAGGCTGGTGGAGAGGTAGAAGACGTTGCCGATGATATTCAGAAGTTTCTCCCTATCGTCCTCGACGCCCCTGGCCTTGCTTGCGATCGTCGTAGCATACCAGCTGGCGATGGAGCAGACCCTCTGCTCGAAGTCCTTCCGCAAGGAGCCGGAGAAGGAGGTGCCGAGGGACTTTTTCATGGTCAAGATCAGCTTAACAACTTGCTTCGTTAGGGAAAATACGCTTCCTGTCAGACGCAGGGCTCCCCCGTCCCCTCCGTCCTCCTCCACTATCTTCCCTCCTCCCCCGACCTTGCGGCTCGAGGAGCGCAGGTCGTCGAGGGAGTAGGAGAAGCGAGCCCAGCTTTCCACTGAGATCTGCTCCTTGACGTTGGAGACTATCTCCTGCAAGTTAGAGTCGACCACCCGCCACATGGAGGAGGAGATGGAGCGGGAGAACTGGTTCTCCATGGTGATGCCGCTCTTCTGGAGCTCGTGGCAGTACTGCTTGACCAGGTCGACGCACTCGCCGATCTCAGCAATGTCAGTGAGGATGAAAACTTCCTTGACGAACGCGATGCAGAACAGAACGAAGGTGTCGTTGCACCAACTGAAGAGGGAGGAGGGAGGGAGCGCGGAGGACGGAGAGGGGGAGGGTGGAGTGGGGGAGGGATCAGGGGAGACCGGAGTAGATGATGATGGTGAGGAGGAGGAGGAGGAGAGGATCTTCTGGAACTCAGAGCACGTCTGGACCATACAGGAGAAGACGGCGTTGCACAGTTGTGCGACGTAGAGACGCACGTCCGTCCGGTTGGTTCCGATGGCCTCGATGGCCTCTACAATAACTCCGGTCTTCCAGGACAGAAAGAGATCCTGCGCGTTCTCCCGCTGCTCCAGCTTCATCAGCAGCCCTACTGCTCGTTCGATCTCCATCATCTGGAACCCGGGAGTCTCGACCTGCTTCCATATCCCGTCCACAATCCTCTTCATCCTCTGCTCAAGGCATCGCTTCAGCCGCCATCCCTCCCTCGTGCTCGCACTCCCCTCTTCCTCCTCCCGTCCCTCCCGCTCCTTCTTCACGCAGCTCTGGAGCCACTCAACGGCTTTGTCAAACTTCCTCTCTATGATGAACATGTCGACGTTCTCCAGCGCCTCCGCCACCTCCTTCCCCAGCTCCTCCTCTCTGAGATCCACGGCTCCAGCTCGACCCTGCCGCTGCTGCCCCTCGGAGCTGCTGGAGTGAAGAGGAGGGCTGACCTCCGAGCCTCGAGGAAGCTCGTTGATCTGGGAGAGGCAGGAGAGCGACTCTGATGCTAGCAGCCGCAAGACCGTCAGGTCCTGCTGCATGGCAGAGACGGCAGAAGAGGCATGGATGAACTGGTCAAAGTTCTTGTGCACTACAAACCTCATCTCGTGCGCCACGTTCTGCCGGTACTTGTTCAGCTCGGGGATGGAGACGAAGTCCCGCTCTCCTCGGAACGCCTTCATCATGCTCTCCGCCGCAAAGTCCTGCGCGTCAAACCCGGAGGTCGCAGCCCTCCTGAAGTTCTTCTCCTTCTGCGAGCTCGCGTTGCTAGAGTTCTCAACCATCGTGATGCTCCTTGAAAGCTCCTCGATGTCCGACAGCGTCTCCGACAGCATCGCGTTCACCCTCTCCTTCACCACCTCCCCCCCCTCCTTCGAGCTGCCGCCCCCCGCCTGCGAGCTCTGAAACACGTCCGTCAGTGACCTCGTCCCTTTCTCTGCCCCCCTGTCAAGCTTTGTGCTGCTGCTGAAATGAACCCTGGCTGCGTGCTTGTCTCCCCTGTCGTCGTCGGTGCTCTTCTCTGCCTTCCCTCCCCGCTGCTGCTGCTGCTGCTGCTGCTGCTGCTGCTGAGCCATCGGCTGTTCGTCCTCTACCAAAGCCCGCATCTCCTTCTCCCTCGCTTGCTCCTCGTGGAGGCTGCAGGAGCAGAAGTACCTCAGGTCCGCCATGCTCTCATGCGTCACTTCCACGGTCTCCTCGAGCATGTCCTCAAGGATCCGCTGGACCTCCTCGAGCAGCACGCCGCATGCTTGTTTCCCTGAGGGGTTCTTCTTGGTGAATCGGAGGACTTTGTTGTGCGACTCGGGGGAACATCGCAACGCGAGCTGGAGAGAGTCCCTGCTGATACTGATAGCCTTGACCATGGACAGCTGGAGCGAATCTTTGAACTGAAGGTACTGCCTTCCATTGTCGCTCGTGAACATGTAAATCGCTCTGTGGGAGAGCCCCACGAAGACACGCGAGAACTTCCTGTCGGCGCCATATCTCTTCGCTCTGCATGCCCACAATAGCTCTTCATCCGCCTCCCCCAGGGCCTTGAGGACTGCGAGCACCCGCTTCTCTTGCATGAGCTCGTCATGTAGCGACATCTCTCGCCAAACTTACTGCCTCGGATCGATGAGACGATGACAGGGATACTGCTTCCACCTTCACAACCCTTCTCTCTCCTATGCGCTGCTATGCTGTCCTCTTGCCTCGTCTCCTGTCCTGTCCTGTCCTGTCCTCTCCGCTCCTCTCGTCTCTCCTCTCCTCTTCCCTCCTGCTTTGTTTCCTCAGCTCATTTTTCCCCGTGTTGGATGAATGTCATCTCCAGCCCGCCTCATCAGTGTTTCCAACGGAAAATAACGATCAATTCATCAAAGATAACTGTTCATAACGCTCAGACCGAAGGGTCGTCGGCAATGCAGGTGATGTGAGAGGAAGGAAAAGCGAAGGAAAGGAGGGCGCAATGGGAGAGGAGCAAGTTGAAGGGAGAGAAGGAGGATTATGGGCGATGAGGAGGAGACAAGATGAGACAGGAAGGCGGGAGAGAAGAGGGGTGGAGCAGTTGAGCAGGATAGGTCAAGTGATTGAAAGGAGAGAAGGGGAGGTTGAAAACGAAAGTACAGATGATCAGTAATGATGTACTATGGATGTCTAAGTGGGAGAAGTCGAGAAGATATGTGTCAATTTCAATTCCTGAGCGATCCATCAGGTGTGGAGCGCAAAGGAGCGAAGGCTCGCTCTGCTCGCAGCTGGAGTTTTGGCATGTGCCGGCTTGACGTGCTTGGTGGTTTATGGGACTCGAAACTCTCACAGGTGAGCTGATGTGCTGCAAGCTCTATATTCTGTGTCTTAGCCTGAGCAGATCGTGTTGACAGTGTTGCTGTGCCTGCATTGTTGTGCCTGCATTGTTGTCTGGTGTCGTTCCCTTTGTTGCAGTGATGGTTGCGCTCTATTTCAAGCTTTCATCTCTCCACTCGTAGCAGAGGATGCTGCCTGATGCCTGACCTCCTGACTTGTTTGCACAGAGCTGCTCTCACTTCAGACTGGCTGGACGGGTATCAGTGGGTGCCTCCATACCCCGGGGCAGGGCCAGAGACCCCGGACTGGCAGGTCACTCCGGCGTCCGTCGGGCAGGGAGCGCTGAACGCGTTTGATCCCTCCCACCAAGAGTCCAACGTGTTGGCAAACAGCTACGTCTTCCCCGATTACGCTCGCCGCTCTCGCCGCATGGCGCTGTACCAGTACCCCACCAAGAGGATGAGGATGGTGCCAACCAACTCCCTGTGGGTTGGATCGCCCATGAAGTTTCTGCCTCCTGATGGAGACTATCCCGGTACCTGCTTCCTCGTCTTCTCAGAGAGCGCCTGACATTATTTGCCATAGGCGGCTCCACTGGAATCCCTCTGGACGGGTTTGCACCCCTCCGCTCCATCACCTGCCTTGGTGACGTTCTCCTAGGTATCTGGCGTATGAGACTGGATGGGCCAACGACGGGCCGTTCCATGGAGAGCTTGCTCCGATGCAGGAGGCAGGCATCGCGTCAAGGGCTCGACCCACCTCACTCAGCATCATGGATCCTGGCCAGGTGACGTAGGCTTGACTTGGACCCATCGTCCTGACAAAGGCAGCAGGAGCCAGCTCCCTTCGACGATTGGGACCTGGGAAACCAGGCGGCGCAGCTGGACCGGACTTACGACGCGAACGTGTGGGAGAACGCGAGGCAGCCGCTGACGGACTACAACATGGGCAAGATCAGCTGCAACATGGGGTCGGACTGTCACGATGGGACCCATCATGGTAGGAGGAGGAGCGTCTGCGTGCGGGATAAAATGATGGGTGGCTCGGGGGAATGGAGGGAGAGGGGAGCTGATGGGTATGAAGTGGAGGAGGAGGAGGGAGGGTTTTGGGGGATTGATCAAGGGGATCCGGATGGAGGGTGGTGGGGGAAAATGATGTTGCTGATAGGTGGAGTTCATGATAACGGGATACAAATTTATGACAATTATCATACGGGGTCGATTGATCCCAGGTAAAGCATGCTGGTGATTTTTTTCTATCTCTGACTGCTGATCTTGTAGCTCCGACAAAAGTGTCAACCCTGAATATTAGAGGCGTTCAATAGCCCGAAGAACACAAGGACAAGTGGGTTTTGATTGTGAAGTAAAAGATTTTCGATTGTATGTCTTGTTCGAACACACCAGTCATGGAACAATATGTTTCAAGAGAGTGCTAGTCTCAAGAATACCTCTCATCAATCATCTCTTCCCCTCGCAGGACTCTGCATCCTCCCCGTCCTCCAGTCTCCTGCGGCAGGGTGAAACAGGCATTCGAAACAGGCGGAAGGCGCGAATTTCTTTACCCTATTCGAATAAAGCTCGCCTCGGGATATCAGAAAAAGTCAGAAGGTCATACCTACCCAGCAATTAGTAGAGAGCGCAAAAGGCAGCAGATAGACATGAAGAACCGAAGAGAGGTCCTTTCAATGGGACTATATCGCAACGCAACCGGACGGGCCGTGACTCAGCTCGGTATGTTTGTACCAGTACCTCCTTCCTGGTACAGTATAAAAAGCCGGTGGTAGTAGAGGGCTGGTACACTACTGAAAATCCATACTACTGATTGCCACAGTAGCCCGGTATAACAGTGTGATATCGCTTTTAGAATTTTTGTTGTACAGTCCTGGTACAACTTGATATTGCTGTATTAGTACGGTACAGGTTGAGCCAGTAGTGTGCATGTTAATAATAAAGGAGTACGAGAGTGTAATATTACTTTTAGATGGGGAACAGAGGAACAAAGATACAGACTATGCGGTATGAGGGCGATGAAAGGTATACTCCACTGTGCGCCTCTTCGTGAGTGGTATACCACCGGTCCTGGAAATTGTCAATGAAATGGAGGGGTGGGGTTGTTACCCCGAGTGTGTGCCTTCCATCCTCGTGTCAAGGTTCCCCCCTCGTTAGGTATGTCAGCAAGAGCTATCAAACGCAACGTTTCGGAGTCTTGCAGGCACAACTTCTTGTGGCCTTTTGTTACATCAGTACCTGAAATTTCACTCACTGGCAATACAGGCGTGCTCGTGACAAGTTTACTACTCAAAACGCATCGTTTCGTTCTTCAGGATTGAGAACGTTTCGCCCCCCGCCCGCGTCTCTTTTCTCCTCCTCGGCCTCTAGCACGGCAAGGCACATACCTTCCCGCTGCTTCCTCCCCGCCCCCGCCCCTCCTCTTCCCTCTCACTCCATGTCCCTCCGTGCTACCACCGTCCGTCCCCGTCCTCGAAACAACGCCCCTCGCAATCCTCTGCTCCCTGTCAACCTGGACACCAATGCCGTCACAAGCCTGTTCCACCTCCGTCAGGACAACGCAGCTCGGATTCTGGTGAGGCATGCGAGGAGCTGAGGGAGTGAAGACATCGGTGTGAGAGTTGTGGGGGGGATGAGGGAGGAAGAGCACAAAGAATGGGCCTGAGAGACAAGTGTAGATCAACTGAACTGAGAACGAGAGACACAGCTGCCTGCCCTCTACCGCTCTCCTACTGACTTTCTTCCTTCTCCTCTACAGGGCGTGTCCCTCACCAGCCTCAAGCTTGCCTGTCGCCGCCTTGGCATCTCTCGCTGGCCATACTCGAGGTACGCTGACGTCTACGGACCCCGCCACACGGCGCCCTCCCAGCTGCCGGAAGCCGGAGCGAGGCCGAGCGAGGGGCCCTCCTCCTCCTCCTCCTCCTCCTCCTCCTCCTCCTCCTCCTCCTCTGCTCAGAATGGGCCACAGCCTGAGGCCTCGTCGAGCTCTGTCAGTTCTTCTTCTGCCCCTGGCAGCTCTCGCCTACCGCTCGCCTCGCTCTCTCCTTCGTCCTCTCCCTCTGCCAGCTGGCAAGTCCCGTCGCCCTCTCTGAGCTCTCAGACGCCGAGGGAGTCGGGCGAGAAGATCAACGAGGACTGGCTTGCGTGGTACCTGAAGACAGACTGGCTGGAGGAGAACGTGGACTATCCGATACTTCAGATAGCCCCAGCTGCACCACGAATCCGAGGCGGCGGAACAGAGGAGGATGAAGAGGGTCAGAAGGGTGGGGAGGGGAAGGAAGGGCTGAGCGGAGGGAGTGAGGGTTGGGGAGTGCTAGATGATAGGATGTTTACGTGACCTAATACGAATGAGATGCCTCTGGTTGCTCGCTGATGCCCTTCCTCGAGTCTTGAACTGATCGACTTCTCCTGCGCATGTAGAAGAAGAAGAAGAAGAAAAAGAAAACTCACAGGCGAGACGATAGAGGGAAGTCAGGGAGGGTGAGAAAACGTTTGAAATGATGATGGAGCAAGATGTGCTGTGATGGGAGTTGATGTGGTTGAGAGAGAGAGGAGAGGAGGTTGTTGGCTACGGTGGGTTGCTGGAACTGTACATGACAAATGGGGACAGCTCAGACAGTCCTTCGATGCTGATAATAAACACAAATATCGGGTATGGATAAGTGTCACATCCCGAAGCTGTACGACGGGTTGCAGACGTCTACAGCGAATGCTCATCAAGGCACCTCCGCTGGATCACACACGAAGGTGAAGAGTAGAGATATGAAGATATCAGATGTATCAAATAAATCTATTTGATAACACGAACACACTATCGATCCGGCAGCTGTTAACGATCCTTTTATAGTCGAGGGGAACCACCAGGAGTGGTGACCACCCGTACTTGCTCCTCCTCGAGCTTCAGCTAATCGTACCAGTACAGCAGGCACCACCCGTACTTGCTCCTCCTCGAGCTTCAGCTAATCGTACCAGTACAGCAGGCACCACCCGTGCTTGTCACACCCTGAGGCTTTACCGGATTGAGCTTCAGCGGAGCTTGACAAGAACTTGCGCTGGAATTTCTCTATTAAGAGGAAAGCAGTGTGACAGGAAGAGATCTATCTCTGTTTATTCTCACACAACAAACAAAGCAAACCAACACACACTGATGTGGTACAAACAGACGTGGCTCACACGCGAATGGAGAAGAAGACCACCTGGTACTGACGAGGATGATCCTTTTACCCTTCGAAGAAGGAGACAGGAGTACCCGTCTCTTGGCTGAAGAAAGTAGGGGTGTTCTCTCCTTGGAAGTATGAGCTCTGACAGTACTATGCACACTCTGTCGCCCAACAGGGGTTGTATCTACTCCAGAGGTCCAGTAGCCCTTAGAGCCCTTGCTGCCTTCGTGACTGTAAGAGAAGAGCATAGCTACTCTTGCTGCCCACTCCTGCTCAATAAGATTCCTTCCTGCGGAGGCTTCAGCTCGCTTTCGCAGAGCTCTGATACCAAGATCCGTTGATGCTGATAACAAACACAAAATGTCTGGTATTGCATGCGATGCTGTACTGTTGTGATGATGAACTTGGAAGACTTGGGCAATACGTCAACGATGTGGTTCCGGTAGTGGAACTCTGAGGAAGACGAGGACGATGAGGATGAGGATGAGGAGGGAGGAGTTGGCGGGGAACGAGCAGGAGGAGGAGCAGGAGGAGGAGCAGGAGGAGGAGGGGGAGGAGGAGGCGAGTAGAAGGAGGAAGGAGTGGAAGGGGACGAGGGATGTGAAGTAGGAATGAACTCCAGCTGGATCAGACATGAACAAGTGCGTAGGGGAAGCGAGATGATGCATATGATTTGTGAAGTGAAAGAAAGATGGATGAGAAATAAAAGTGATGTCCTTCAAGCGCACTTCTCAGATTCTGCAACCTTTTCACGAAAATCTCAACGAGTTTATAACATATGTCCACTTCAAGGCTTACAGCATATCCATGGTCTTACAATCATTCTACTTATCATCATCAGCAACAAAGAACCTTGTTCTTTAAACCCTATGTTGGCGCAGCTTGCTCAATTGGGAATGTTCTGCGTGATGGGATAGCTTACATCTTCCTCCATCATTTCGCACCCCATGTACCAATCGAGCCACCCATCTCCTGAGCTTATATGAGCGAGTGGAGGACAGCAACACTCCCATTCTGAACCCTCAGCAGCTTCCTCCTTTCCCTCGTCCTCATCCGCAGCCTCTTTACCCTCCGCACCCTCTGCACCCTCCGGCTGACTCGCTGCCTGCTGGACACTCAGCTGCGATACTGCAGCCTGGCTGCTGCTGTTTGACAAGATCTCTTCAGAAGGTGGTTCATAACGGCTGTACGGCCATCGTTTGATGCCGAGGCGCCTGCAGGCCATCTTGAGGCTCGTCAGAGACATGCCCTGGCGCATAGCCGTCAGACACTTTCCTTCACCATGCTGAGCACTCACCAATATTCTAGCAGCATCCTCCTGTCTCCGATCAAACAGCCGGGCAAGGAGTCTTTCATCCACCCGCACAACCATCGGGCCGAAGTGGCTGTAGAGCTTCGAACGAGCATGCACGGTCACTGAAGGGAGGGTCGTGGCAGACATGGAAGTTTCGAATAAACTGAATCAAGTTCTTGGGACGTACAGATGTGGAGGAGGGTGTGAACGAAGAGAGGATCAGGTGTGAACGAAGAGAGGATCAGGTGTGAACGAAGAGAGGATCAGGTGTGAACGAAGAGAGGATCAGGTGTGAACGAAGAGAGGATCAGGTGTGAACGAAGAGAGGATCAGGTGTGAACGAAGAGAGGATCAGGTGTGAACGAAGAGAGGATCAGGTGTGAACGAAGAGAGGATCAGGTGTGAACGAAGAGAGGATCAGGTGTGAACGAAGAGAGGATCAGGTTCTAGAGCGAGATGATGGGAGCAAGGAAGTAGGAGGGGACTGGCGGGGTCGGAGCGTGGAAAGAAAAGAGGCGGCGGGTCTGGGGGTGAATTTTTCAAGTCGAAATTGAAACGTTTCGAGGGCGGCTGACAGGGCATAACTAGGGTAGGGTCCTTTGTGGGCAGGGTAGTGAGAAACTAGGGGGTGAAAATGAGTAGACAGAGGGGTGTAAGTAGGTAGTGGGTGGGGTAGGTCAAAAAGTGTATCGACTGCTGAAGCGTTGCGATATTCGGTAGTAATGATGATGATCAGCAGAGCTTTAAAAAGGCTGCAGTGATACCTCTACCCCACCCCCTATTTATCGGGATTTAGGAGGGGTTCAATCGAACCAGTCTGAGAGATGCATTGCGGGGTGAGTTTTTGTCTCGCGCTGCCGTCGTAAAGGATATCTACCACCCCCACCCCCTCTTTCGGGTACATTCACTCGATGACTCACCTACCACCCCAACAAGGACAAAATTACCCCTGTACCACCCTCATGTTATCAATCATTTATACGGGTGATCAGCCCATTGCTATCCAGGACCACCGGTGGTATCATCTGAGGGGGACCGTCCCATCCTGGTTGCGAGCTGGTCACGGACCGCACTGACCGTCATGGTGTTAAGGCAGCGGAAACGAGGGCCGACTGAGCCTCAGTGCTGGGGGTGGGGTACCGTAGTACTTTATTAATGGAATCAGGGGTACTAAGGGGTCCCACTGACGCCGCAGGGTTCGGAAGTTCATGGATGATGACCGGGTGCCCTCGTGACCGTGACTGTCACACGAGTCACACCGTGAAACAATCATCCCCCTCTAATCATTGAATTGCGTCCCAACGGGCCAGTCACCCGACCACCGTCCTATCCCAGTCGCATCAGCCTAGGCTAGCGTGACTCCCCAGTCTTGTGGCCCCGCGCCGCTGATCCCGGCTGATCGGATCCGACTGATGATCCGGTGGCCGGGCCGCCGCCACTGAGTGGCCCGGCTGCCCGGCCGTAATACCGTACTCCGTATGATGACGACGGTAGTACTACGGTAGTGCGCCGCCGCCGGGCCGGCACAAAAAAAAAAAAATTGCAATCAGAAATTTGCCAGCCCCCCCCCCTTCGACGCCGGTCACGGCTGAATGGAGCAGATCGGATCGCAACTCAGTTAAAACGGTGTTTGCTGTGGGCGATCTTAATCAGGCCGCCTGAGTCACAGCCACGGCGGCGTGACCCTCCGACTCCCGGGTCCGAGGCTCTCGCTGTACGCCGGGCTGTCGGACCGGCCAGTAACGCCGCAGACTTGCTGCAGTGCCTCCGGAACAAGATGCGTGGCCACGTCCACGCCGGGGCCCGGCCGGCCGGCGGCGGCCCGGGGCCCGCCGGCACTCAGTGCACTATTCAATGATTTTTTTATTTTACACAATCGCTTTTTTTTCTGCCTAAACTGAATTTGACTTGGGCCGGTGGAGGGTGGTATAGAGGGGGGGGGAGTACTATGATAGTTGGGGGTGGGGTAGCAGAAAATCAGCCTAAGATGGGTGGGGTGGACTTTGAAATCATAAATTCACAGTAGGGGTCACTTGTATTATGTACAGTAAGAGGGGTAGTCAGTGTAGTCAAAAGGGAGGGGTAGGGTGGTGTT